CGACTCCACTATCAAACATCGGGCGTGATCGTGTTCGACTCGATTGTTGGGCAGTGTCGTGTTCGACTCGACGATCGGGCACGATCGTGTTCGACACGACGATCGGACATGATCGTGTTGGACTCGACGATCGGGCGTGATCGTGTTCGACTCGACGATCTGGCACGATCGTGTTCGACTCGACGACCGGAAGTGCCACGTGGCGTTACGTGGTTGCATCTGGGCTGCGTGGTTGTGTCCTCACCATCCGATCCTTCAAACTCGGGGTGCTCCGCTGTGGTTGTGCGTCACGACCTCGGGCCGTATGCTCGCTCCGTCGTCACGCTGAACACGCCTCTCGACAGCGCTGTGGTCCGCCGTCGCGTCGAGCAGGTGGTCTGCTATGCACAGACCAAATCCCTGCGCTCCGTTGCCGCGCTGTACACGAGCCTCCACTGCGCTGCGCTGTGGCACGAGCCTCCGCTGCGCTGCGCTACTGCTGTGTTGCCGAACTGAAATAAAAATTGGAACTGGTGGCCCTCCCTCATATATATAGTTTTTCGGGAGGGCCCTTCGCGGGCACCTGCTGGCCGTCCGATCCGGGGATACTGACGGTCGGGATGTTCCAATGGGGAGTGGTGGGCCTGCCTCATATATGTGGTTTTTCGGGTGGGCCCTCCGCGCGCGTCTGCTGGCCGTCCGATCCGGGAATACGGACGGTCGGGACGATCCAATGACTGCAGTCGGCCGTGATCGTTTTCTCCCCTTGGCCAGAGCGGAGGCGCGGGGATGACGTTCAGCTGCAGAGAAGAAATGTGATTCGCGCACATGAGTACCCGCGACATTGTATCACTGTCCGCGTTCTGGGAGAATCAGCGCAGCAGTCCACCAACGTCGACACTACAACTGCCCCGCTCTCCAGGTTAGTGCCGCTTCGACCAACCCCCCCCCCCCCCCCCCGCGAAAGAAAGAGAAAAACCTCCGTGGACGACCGTGTCCAGTGCTGGTTTATCGGTGACGTCAATAAGTTTTCTCGAACACTTTCACTGCAGTCGTCGTCGTGTCGAACACGATGGTCGACACGGTCGTTGTCGTGTCGAACACAATAGTCGTCGTGTTGAACACGATCGTTGTCGTGTCCGACGCGCTGGTCGTCATGTTGAACACGATCGTTGTCGTGTCCGACACGCTGGTCGTCGTGTCAAACACGATGGTCGTCGTGTCCGACACGGTCATCATCGTGTTGAACATGATGGTCGTCGTGTCGAACACGATCCTTGTCGTGTCGAACACTCTGGTTGTCGTGTCGAACACGATCGTTGTCGGGTCGAACACGGCCGTTCGTGTCGAACACGCTCGTCGTCGTGTCCGGCTCGTTGTCGTGCACGGCCGTCGTCGTGACCGACGTCGTGTCGAACACGGCCGTCGTATTGTCGAACACGACCACCATTGTATCGAGCACGACCGTCTTCGTGTTCGACACGATCGTCGACGATGGTCGTCGTGTCCGGCACGATGGTCGTCGGGTCGGACACGGTGGCCGTCGTGCCGAGCACGGTGGTCGCCGTGTCCGCCACGGTCAAACGCGCTCTTGGTCGTGTCGAACACCATCACGGTCGTGTCGAACACCCTGCTCTTTTTCGCTACGACCCCCACCTACGTTTCGACTTGCACAGAGTTTAGTGCGAGTTGCGCCAGCGGAACATAGTTTCCGGGTGACTGTCTTTTGTCTCTTGTAGCACTGACTGCTTATTGCAAGATTGCGCGACGACCCCCTCCTTGTAATATACAATGGAGCTCCTGTCGTGTTAGGCGCCACATTGGCATTGCCGCAGTCGTTTGCCTTCTTAGCCTAGCTGTCTAGTAACCCGTCGTGCCCCGTAGAACGAACTCTGCACAAATTTTGCTTTGAATCCTCGGAGTCTGGTACCCGGGAATCAAGACGGGGGACCCTTCCGCGTTGGGCGAGGCGGTCGCGTTGCCACGATGGTTTTCCTGCTCACTCGTGGCAGTTTTCCTGCCCGCTCTTCGTGGGTGGTGAGTACCACACGTGCCGGGAATCAAGATGGGGGACCATTCCGTGTTGGGCGAGGCGGTCGCTTTGCCACGATGGTACGGTCGCGTTGCCACGATGGTATTCCTGCTCACTCGTGACAGTTTTCCTGCCCGCTCTGCGTGGGTGGTGATTACCACGCGTGTCCAGTCGCTGTAGTTCCTGGAGTAATATAGAATCTTTCCTATCAATGCCCTCGTGCCAAGCTGTGTGCTGCGCGCCAGAGTCTTCTTCGTTCCGCTGTTGGTGCCCGCTGGGTTTTGCACGCCGTGGTCTCTGCCTTTCCGAAGCTGGTGCCCGACGTGACATGTGCTGCGTTTCCTGTTGCTCGTCAAGATCTCCTCCTTTTCAATGCTGTTGCACGCTGTGTTTCCGGTTGCTGGTGCCCCGACTCGACACGTGCTACGCTGACCACTGTCGTTCGATCTCCGACTTGGACAGACTCTTTCACGTGTATTGCGCCTTTGACACGGATTGGGCCTGATGACTGGATTGCTACCCAGATTCCACGGTCGTGTGTTATCCTCTCTCCAATATTTCCTGTTCCCCTCCGTTCAGTGTAGGGCTGTGTTTCTCAGGGTCATTTATAGGGCTGTGTTTCTCGCTATTGCGTAGGGATGGTTGTCTGCTCCATTTCATTTGACAATGGTCCGCTGTTTTGTTGTCACAGACACGTCTCGTGCATGGCTTGTCGTGTGCATGCTATGCCACGGCAAGCTTGCAACACAACCTTGGAAAGCATGGACTGTGTGGCATTTAATACAATGCTCAATGAGGATTTTCCTCCACCGCACCTGCCAATGTGTTCACAAGATGTTCGAAGTGGTCACGAGCATGTCGATAATGCTTCCGAATCTCCTGCTCGTAAGAGGTCACGAAATATTGCGTGTGCGGACATTACATGTGAAAGTGCGTATCCCGTCCTTCGATGCCCGGTTCGAACCTATGATGCAGAGAGTGCTGAAGGTAAGGAGGGTAAGGCCTCCTCTACTGACAACAACGCATCCGATGTAGATCGTGTTGTATGGGTGCCGAGGAGTTCACTTCGAGATTTCGAGTACACAGGTCTTCTGTTAGGTGAGAGTGAAGAAGGTGGTTCAGATTCAAGTGCTTCGGTGTCGTCTAGTGCTGATAGTTCTCCAGATAAAACCGATCTTCCGCAAACGTACGCTGACCGGAACAGTGACCACTGTTGTTGAAATGACGATGAGAATTGTGACGTGATCTCTGATTTCGATGACATTTTTCCAAAACGTCTGTCCTTAGAGAAGCGTCCTTATACTTTTCGTCTCAGAATGCCGCGGTCAAAGAAGATTCTGCAATCAGTTCATAGAAAACTCACCAAAAAAGTACTGGCGAGTGTGTGTGGGCATGTTTGCTGTAAGCGAGAGTGTTGAACTCAAATGACCCTGGACGACATCAAAACTGTCCGGAGCGTATACTACTCTAAGAACCAGCAGAGCAGGGATGCGTGGTGGGTTGAAACGTTGAAGAGGTTCACCTCCATAGAAGATGAAAAGGAGATTGTTCAACCTCTTGTGGGGAGACGAAAGGTGTGCATTAGTGCTTGGTGTTTCACACTGGGTGTATGTAGGAATACATTTCTCAAAAAAAGGATGACTTTGTCAAAAGGCTACAATATGTCGGAGCATGGCAAAACTGGACTCAGACGCACATCAACAACATATGCGACGATGTACGGGAAACTAAGCTCCTTCGTGCGAGACAACGGAGATTCCATGCCCAATGACATGAAGATCAAAGAGGGGGAATCAAGAGTGGTGTTGAGATTGCCTGCTTGCTATAACAAGGTTGATATTTATAAGTTGCTAAAATCGCAATTCGACAACATGAGTGCTCCTTGTGTTTCTTTCTAAGTTTTTTACAACATGTGGAGAACGCAGTTCTAACATGTGAAATTCCATGACATTGATCAAAACTTTGCGAAATGCGAGAAAAGTGTTGAATACAAAGAATCTATCAATTCCGCAAAGTTCGTGCGTATGCGTGAGTACTTTGTTTCGTTACGCAAGAAACACTTGGACTTGCAGCTCCAACATTGTGCTGCGTATGAGGTGTGGAAGGATGAGTCGAAGAGACTGGGTTCCAACAGTTTGTGCATCATAATTGACGACATGGACCAAAGCAAGACCAACATTTCACACTTTGGCGGAGAGAACAAATTGAAGGCATTCACAAATATTCCGATGTTGAAAACGAATCTAACAGCTATTATTGCACACGGCCGCTCACCATCGGTTCATGTTCACACATGGTACCCTTGCTATCCACATGATTTTAATGCTGTAGTGTCATGCATTATGAAAGTTCTTCGTGACATCCAGGCGACGAGTGACTTGCTTCCTAAACTGAGGATACAAGCTGACAACTGTTGGAGAGAAAACAAAAACAGATACGTTTTGGCACTCGCTGCAGCTTTGGTGAAATTTGGTTTTTTCAAAGAAGTCGAATTCGGTTTTATGTTAGTGGGACACACATACGGACGTTGATGCCACTTTCAGTCATTTCTCTCGCAAATTGAAAATGCACGATGCATATACCATGCTCGACCTCTTCAAGCTCGTTGCCAGATCTATAAAAGAACGTCCATCATGCACATTCATGGATGAAATTGCTGATTAGCGAGCTGCTATTAAGCCCTTCCTGGTCAAGAGACTGACCGGTCATACTCGTCCATATGCATTTAGGTTTTATATGCAGGATGACAATCCTGTGTTCCAGTGAAAAGAGTATTGCACTTCTCCTGAAGGGTCTGCTCCAGTATGTTGCTTTAAACGAGATGGAAACAAAGCATATGCTGGACCCGAATGGTCATTCGTGCCATCACCTGTTCCGCTGTCAGTTTCTCTGCCTACTAAAGATAGGAATTCGGATTTCGAATCGGGAATTGACGGTGTGAAGACGTTTGTTGGGTGGTTGGAGAACAAGCGACACGAGTGGTTGGGAATGAAAGATGAGGTTAGCTTCTCAAAGGAGAGTGCTCTTTCACACTGGAAAACTTTCCTCGAGACAGTCGAGGAGCATTACGGGTTTGGGTTTGCGAAAACTTCACTCAAGGCTGACTTCTGGCCCTTATAAGACAAAATTAAGAAGGATGATCTAGATGATATTGATATTGCCTTCCTCTTGAAGAGCAATGAGAATAAGGAGTCGTTGTTCGTTGGACTGGCCAATGAGCGTCCAAAGGCGGAGCTCAACCCAGTTGTGGATATTGAAAAATGCCAATTCGCTCTCTTGCGACCTTCCCAAGATCATATCGATGAGGGAGTTCCTGTATGGATGGGTAGAGTCATTTCCGATGTAGATAACGATATGAAGTCGTCAACTTTCAATCATATTCTTATTGAATATTGGGTGCCACAACCTATTGCTAAACGTCTTTCTGTGTAATATTCGAACGCATGGAAGAAGACGTGGAAGAAAGACAACACAACATCACAGCAGTGGCAACATGTAGACTGTGTTGTGTGGAGTTGGACATCAAAGACATTGCATTTAGAAAATGGAGTGCACATTCCAAAATCGGTCAGAGAGAAGGCCTTGGTATGCCTTTCACTTCCCGATAATGAAGATCAGTAGGTTTTCAATGGGTTTTGAAGAAGAGCTAATCGTATTTCTTTACACGTATTAGTACGTTATTTAGTTGTCATTGAACTTTCATTTATATATATTTAAACTGTATTTTCATATGTTGCAAAATTGTTCAACCATTTGTGACGACTGGATGGCCGCCAAGTAACATGGTGTGGGGAAGAAATATATGGCATGATATGGGTCCAGTTTTCTTCACATCTGAAGTAATCTTTGACAGTGCAGTACTCAGTGTTAGAGGTGTGGATGCTCCACCGGAAGACTGGGGACATTCTCCTCGAGAGTCGCTGTATATTTGTGGTCGGAGGTGTTGTGGAACGAGAACATACCCACGAGAAGTGCTCGCACCCTTTTTGGAATTCTATTATTCAGCAGTCAAATTCTTCCACAACAATTTCAATGTGATGACCTTGTTTTGTGCAGCGGCAATTGTTCAAGGTCGGTGCAAAGTATCTTTCTTTATTTATAATGATTATTCTGCAAGTGTAAGTGTTTCTAATGCAGACAACATCGATGAACGACGACGACAAGAATTCCGAAGGAGGATCATGGAGCAACCATCACTCAAAACACTCATGGATGGGTTTGTGGACACGACCATTAAATATTTGCGAATTCTCCTACTGCGCGAATATGAAGTAATAGAAAGTTATATAGAGTACAAGGCACCGGCGTTTGATGGACAAACAGATACCATCATTGTAGAAGATTAGACAACTTATACAACGACAGACTGAAATGTTGTCTTGATCGCATTAGTTTATCCCTATAGTCGATCTAGTTACTAGGCTTGTTTTGCCTATTTTCGAAATGTCATTTGTGCTTTGTATTTTCTTTTTTTTCCCCTCTTACTCGGTCAATGGCCTTGAGACATCATCTAAGTTCGAATAGCCCAATCTTGCATTAATATAGAGTAATTTGGTTATCCGAGTTCTGCCGGATTCGAACTAAGGTTTGTGTTTTAATAGTTTATGAGCGACACTGCTTTCAAATTGTTTTTAATGTTGAACTTTTGCACGTGTTTTCATTTAATTGTGTTGTTGTAGTTAAGCAGTATTTTTGTACGTGTTTTTGGAGTCTCCGGTGCACTTTGCTGTCAAATATTAACAGATCTTTAAATTTTCTCCTAAGGTCACATGCAAGGTTTTTCTGTTCTTTCATGTAAGCCTTTAAGTTCAAGGAACATCAGATTCCGAACTAATTGAAATATTGTCAAGTTCAACTTGATCCGACACTCACCGAGTCTCACGTTTTGCAATATGTGTCCATGTTGTGTAAGCTTGGTATTATAATTAATATAATAAATTGAATATGACTTCTTGGATTTTGTGATAGAATGGATGTATTCATGTTATGAAAGGTTGGGATAATATACAATAGGTAACTCATGAAACTTGTATTGATGCAGATATACGGCTTTCTTTAAAAATAGAATCATGGATAGTTGACTAATGAAACTTGTATTGATGCGGATATACAATTTTCTTTTCAATACTTGATTATACAATATTTGTCAATAAGATGCTAAAATCCTCTGCTCTTGTTGTTAAATTTACTTTTGTTCTGACAAATTTGTTAATTTCATTATGTTCACTTTTTACAAAACATTTCATTTTTAACGAAAACACCGTTATCCATTCATCCATTCATCCATTCATCCATTCATTCAGCATAACACACAACATCCGAGATTGAAATCACAAAAACGAGTGTGGGCCGAAACCAAGTCAAGATTTCGAAAAACAAAAGAGAACGGGCGAATCGCCCCGAACCGAGATCAACATTTATATACAAAAGCAAAAAGGGGGAAACGACAAAAGAAACAGCAAATCCACGTCCATCAACCTCAGTTCCCTCTTCCTTTCTCTCTCTCTCCGATGTGGACAGTTCGTCGTCGCGCACCAACCCATGAAATCATCACCCCGCTTAGTCCTCCAGCACCCGTCAGGTTCGCCCGCGCCTACAGTCCGTCGTGGCCCGCGTCAACCCCGCGCGTTTGCCACCAGCTCGTCGGGTCGCCCGACTCCCACTTCAACTCACCTCTTACTTCGCTCGTGAACCGACCCTCAGTGATCGCGCTACCCCGAGCTTCCACTAGCTGGTTAAGAGAGCTATCTAATCGCACAACCGAAATTTATAGCGTGCATACATGCGCGAAGAACACGGAATTACAAGGACTTAGAAAGAAGATTAGGAGAGGGATCGCCTACGTTCTGCATGGTCAGACCACGGCGTGGGGGACGTAGCCTCGCTCCACGCATCGATCAGGGTATGCAGTCCGCGGGCTGGCTAAACACAACAAGAAAAAGCGAGAGCGGGAAAGATGAAGCACAAGAAGAAAGGATACAGTAACAATGACGCCCGCCCAAAATTACAGTTACACACATGATTAAAGGCGCCGACTAATCAAAGTTCCATTGCAACCGCACAGAGAAGCGCGCAAGCAAAAAGCGCTGCGAGGCAAGGAAAAATCCTAATTGCAAAATTTCTAAATTCATGTCTAATGCAGAAACAACGAAAAACACAAATCCTGAAAAGAAAGTTCGAAATTCCAAGAGTCATAGTGGCTCGACAAGATTCGAAAAAGAATTCAAAAAGAAATTTCAAAAAGAACGAAGCAAAATTCCCGCGCGATTACCGCACCTAAAAAGTCCGAAACCGAAACAAAAGAAGCGACGTCAGCATTTATTAATCGCGCGCATGGTTGCGCGCTACTCATACAACCAATCAACCAATCGATCGTCCTGGGGCTCACTCGGGACCGAACCCAACCATTCGAAAAGACGACGAAAAAGGATGAAGAAGCGAGGACACCGATGCAATTTCCCATCCAATGCATCCCAATCTCCCGTAATCGGCCCATCCTTCCCAACTTAGGACCCCTCGTCGCTATTGCGCTGAAAATCGTGCGGTGCAGAAATCGGTTCGTCACATATGTGACGCCCAGGGGGTTCCAATCTTAAGCAAGCTCTTGCTTGCTTGAATCTTGACACGTGTCGATCTCTCTAATCGACCGACGCGCGGAGCTTTCCGCATGGCCACTTACCGTGTGAAAGAGTGTGGATGTCATCCAATGTGGCATGCAAGCTCTGTCCTACAAATTCCTTAGGAGGACTCTCATCAATCCAAGGAGGGGATTATTCGTGGCATCGCTGTGGCACGCACATTAATCCACCAATCA